CCTATGTATTTATACATACCTTCTGTTAAGCCTTGTGAGTGGTTACAATGATATTATGCAGCCGATCTGTTGGTCATCATAATTCAACTAGAAATGCAGTCAAATTATACACAGCATATTTGAGAGAAGCCAGATAAAATATCTTTAAAAAACCTGCCCAAAGGTTCTATCTTTCAAAGGGATATTCTCAAAATATTAAGAAATAATTCTGAATGGATTTTCCAAGATCTTTTGGAGCTTCTGCAATAGTAATGCTCCCTATACTTCTACAGAATACAGTCTTTTACAGGAGGTTGTTTAATGCAGAGAAATTCCTACACATTTGTATCAGCATGAAGTCATTAACGTAAGAACATATGCCACATTGGTTCAGACCCATCTTCTCTTCAGCAGTGGCTAGAAATCAATGCCCTGGGAAGAATGAGAACAGGGCAAGCATATGTAATACTTCCTCAGAGTCTTCTCCCAGCTGCCAGCTATTTTCAGGTCAGAGAACTTCCTGAGATTGATGGTGCCTGTCTCTTTAGTTTCCCTCATTGAATCTCTCAAGTATTTACTTGTCCAATCTCCCCCTCAACACCAAAACTTTTACATCCTGAACAGTTCTGACAAGAAATTCCAGAGGTATACTAACACAGGTCCATTAATGTAATGACTTTGCATCAACAGCTGTCTCCTCCTTCCCAAACTGTGGAATTCTATGACACTACAGAAACAAAAATAATACTGTGGAATCTGTGGTCTTGCTGCATGACACAACTCCACTTTTTGCAGAAGAGGAAAAGAGGTCATAAGATTCCAGAAATTAAATGTTTCAATTCAAATATATCTTCCTGGACTTCTTCTACTCTTACTCCACACTGAAAACCTAAATAGAGGCTTGGGATCAAAAAACATTCAATAAATAGTGCAAAGGCTCTGTTTATCAATCACATTTTCTTGTATTAGATACTGTATATAATGTAGTTCCATACAAATGAGCTATCAAGATTTAATGAATTTTAGCAGGGGACAAAGAAAAAAGGCCTATACAATCTAGTTGATACCATAATATCTCACTTTTTCACATTGACAGATCTAGGGAATTAATGATTATATGTTAAATTTCCTGAATACTTGCCTCTATGGCAAAAAGGCACTCATGCTAGTACATTAATTTTTCAAGGTGTTTTTCCTACATTGCTCTACAGAACTTTCAGTGGTTTGAGGGGAAAAACATAATGAGAATAAAACAGAGTTTAAGGGTCTGTCTAATAAAGTTTACTTGGAGCTTAACTAAGAATAAGTTGATTAGCAATTCTTCTCAAAGAAGTATTACACTCCCCATCTTTCACTCCCTCTATATGTAACACAGGTTATATTCTATACAGAAGAATGGCATTTGTTTTCCAAAGCTGTTGCAGCTTTCTTTTGGTGTTATTATCATCATGGACTTTTTCTTCACAACATATTAAAAAGTATGTATTATATTTGGCCCAATAGTTACTCTGTATGTTAACTTTTCCCATGCATGCAGGGTTGCCTGTTCATGTGCTGCTCCTTTTTCATGCAGAGTAACCTTTCTCCAGGGTAGGGAGCCTCCAGAAATCATTGACATCACTTAGAGAAATAAAGAATGTTGCACTGGGTCCAAAACTGGTTTGCAGGCTGTTTCTGATAAGGCCTCTGTTTCAGAGAATGACTTTCTGCACGCTGTTGCATTTAAGGAAGTTCTTCAGTTGGGTATTTCTCAGTGGAAGTTCCCAGCTAATATTAGTCATAAGAAGCACAATACCACATTTCATAATCGCGTTGATACTCCCCCGGCAACATAAAGATTGCCTATAGAGTTACCAAAGAGATGAGAAAAGAAAATCCAAACCTTTTGTTTCTATACTTTGCAAAGACAATGAGCAAATTAGACTTATCAGCATCAGCATTCAAATGCATAAAAAAAGTATATGACATTACTTTAATGTTACTTATAGTGCTCCAAATCTATATGTCTGCATTCTAATTAAATATTCTTAAGTTTCTGGAACTCAGAAACTAACTTTGTCTGTTACAACCTAAAGGAAAATTACATACTAAGGTTTACACAGGCTCACCAACTACTACTCTTGATGCTGGGAAAAAAAAATAATCAGCCTCAACTTCCTGCACACTAAGGAATGACAACATTTGGTCAAAATTAATCCACAGTTCTCAATTTCTGACCAGGAAAGGCATTTCAAGATCAAAACACGCCTTTTATTTTGTTAAAGCAGCAACAGATTAAAAGAACGGTGAAACACCCCAGAGCAACAGAGATCCTTTCAGCACCCAGCACACTCCTTTGGGACCACGGTCTCTGAGTTCTGGAAAAGGTTTAACATCTGACGTGAGCCACCTAGCGTCTGAACTAATGGCTACATTAAAAACTTGCAACAAACACTTCAACCTCTTTCTAGCAGAAGCCAATTTGCATTTATAAGCTAAGAGAATCATAAAAAGGAATCAGATGAAACCTTTGGTGAACTACAGCCCTTTGCCAGCTGCTCCAGCAGCAGCCTCTCCCAAAAGCAGTGAGTTCCTCCCCAGACCTCAGCGCAGTGTAACCAACGAGCACAGTGTTAACACATCAGCACAGACTAAGGAAAACTCCTGTTAAAATACCATTTCAGAAGTAATGTAAAACAGCAAACTGCATATAGATGATGTAAGTATTTAAATTGGCTGTTTGACCCACAAAGCACAAACTCAAATTTTCACGATGAAAAAGCCATCAACTTGCTAATTCCCAATCACCAAGAAAAAACAAACAAAAAACCCAAACAAAAGCCCCTAACAACAACAACAACAACAAAACTCACTCTAAGTTTCTAAGCATAAGTAGTCAAAGTAAGACTGACTCTGAACACAAAGGGAAATAAAATATTAAAATATAAGAAGCCCTGTGCCACCACTCCCAAACCCCAGATAAGTGGTTTGCAACTGTTTTTAAGATCAGGAGATTCCTAAAATCCTAAATAATTTTAAAATACACTGATATGTACTGCCTCTTTCCAGCTATCTTGTGAGGACTACATATAGGAAAGCAATCCTGCCTTGACAATGACATAAAAGTGTGAAATACTGATGTGGGGCAGAAATACAGAAAGCTGTTCCTGGAATAGCTGTAGGGAAGGGAGTACAGCAACAGAAGAGGAGGAAGCAGAAAAACAAAGAAAAAGAAAACAAGATGAGGAAGAAAAGGACAAAAAGTAATTTAGCAATTGACTGTAGAGCATAAAATGCTCTAAAAGATCAGAGATCAAGTTAGCTATGAAATAGAGGTTTTGTACTATTTTCATGGGTATTTTTCTTTCCTTCTATTTAATTTATTCAAAGGTTTGAGGTCTCTAAGATTATCAAGATGGGTTACTGTAAAGCTTGTAAAATATACATTATTGTACTGGGGGAGGAAATGTAAAGAAAGAAGGCACTAAAGAATGGAGAGGAAAAATCTGCTTCTCCCATGCTTTACTGTGAAAGAATATTACTGATAAAGCACTAAGAGATTAATGCACGTAGTTTGAAAAGTCATGTTTGTAGACAGTTGCCAGTTTTGAGTTGCTGAGTTTGAAACCTTCATGGCAAATTTACATTAAGTACATTCCTAGAATTAAATAAAGAAATTTTTACCCCCTAAAAGAACTAACATGCAATGATAGTATTTCAGAGGTGGTATACATGTTATGGCTATTTGAATTCAGGTAGCCATAATTTTACTTGAGGCATGTTTATCATCAGACAACACCCACTTGTACTTTTCTGCACATTATCCATTTTAAATACAGCAGCAGTTAAATTATATTGCATTTATTGATCTGAATTTAAGAAATGCAGCTTATATTTCAGCTGAGATATCCATTATAATTTTAAGTGCATAACTGCTTGCCAAAACTGACTAAAAACGTAACATGTGGAATTAAAAGAGAAACAATAAAAAGAGAAACAAATTTTTGCCTACACCCTATTATATTTTTTTTTTTAAGAATCCATTGAATGAAACCTTAACTTGGACATCTCAAGCACTGTCTATGAAAAAGGAAATTGAATTCCCCTTTCTTGGAAATGTGCTAAAAGAGCAAACTCTCTTAATAGATCATTAGGACCTTATCTGAAGTTCTTAAAAATGGCCAAACAGGAAATATATTTATAGGCTCATTAAGTTATCTGCCTTTAAGTCTCTTTAGCCTTAGCGCAGGCCAAAACAGACCAAAGGAGTTGCTAAAGTCTTTGCAGGAAAATTAAATTATAAGAGAAATAATCTTCAAAAGAGCACAGAGAGCAACACCTGGCTACTTTTTCTGTGGCTGTGTTTGAGCTCAGTCCCCAGGCTCCCAAGGGCAGGCACCCAGGATAGGTAGGTTGTAATAGCTGGAATGCAAGTTCTGATCTGGGAGTGGGCAAAACTAAAAGCTCTGCCCCAGAAGAAACACCACAGCTCGGCTGCATGGGTATGTTCACTGGGGTTCAGAAGCAGCCGAGATTAACTCAAAATATGTAGTGCTTTTCTGCCGCTGGCTCTGTGATGGTATCCTGTATGCATGTAGCAAACGCCTCATGTTCTCCCATCAGCTCCCATCCTCCTACACACCGTCAGGAAAGAAAGTTGTACTTATACATGTGACCTAAAGAGAGAAGGGCTTGTAGCAGTAGCAAAATTAAAACTGTATATTTCCATTATATTCTTACCTATAGTATTAATCGCCTGCATGAAATAAACGCAGGCAGGGAAATGCCTCTGTAGTAACTTACAACAGACCCTTCAGAGGGAAACCACCCTGAGCATGAAAAGTACGTTACAAATGTAACTATTGTTACATACAAATCACTCTAAGTCACGGAAAGAAAGAAACAGGAAAGGGCTGTGGACGTCGGGAGCACAGAGGCTGCTTGAGGGGTCTTCTAGAGCCAGACAGAAGAGGCACTGCCCGACAGCCGGAGGCGAGCGGACAGGCTCCCATCCTTGCACGGGGCGGACGAGGAAGGTGCCATCCCTGCGCGAACCGGCGGCTCCGGCGGCCGCTGCCCTGCCCTGCCCCGACCCGAGGCCGGCGCGGACAGCGCCCCGTCACAGGGCGGGGAGAGGCACGGCAGGAAGTCGGTTCTGGTTCCTGGGTTAAGGCGCCCAGGCAGGAGAGAGCGCCCTGTGTCGGGAGCGACCGCGGGCTCCGTGAGGCGCTCGTAAGTCTGAGTCGCTTTGGGAACAACGCGCTCTGGCGCTCCCGCGGGAGCGGCGGGGCTCGGCCCGGGGCCTCAGTTCGGACCAGGGCATCCCGAGCCGGGGCTCCCGGGCCGCGCTTCCGCCCCCCTCCCCCGGGGGTGCCGCTTCCCCCTCGGCCCGCCTCGGGAGCGGGGCCGGGGGCTCGTCGTTTGCGTGCGGAGGCGCTCCGGGAGCGGGGAATCAGGGGACGGGATCAGCGGGCTCGCTGCCGGGAGGCGATGGCCCGGGCGGCGAGCGCAGGAGCAGGAAGAGGCGGCTGCCCCCGCGGGCAGCGGCAGCGCGGCGGGGGAAGCGAACCCCAGCGCTCCGGGAATCGCCGTCCCGAGCCCTGAGCGCTCGGGGGCTGCCCAGCTCTAACGCTGCTGTGCCAGGAGGGGCTCCTGCTGTGTTAACGACGCATCTCGCCGTCAGGCGAAGCAGGAATTGTGTCTACTCAGAAAACCACAAGGGGAAAAACAAAACACAAAAAAGTTCAATGAGCTCTCAGTCTCACACAAATTATTACCTCAGCAGGCTTCCAGTTCCCAAGATGATGGCAGTGTAACTTAGAAAATATAGCAATCGAAAAATCTGTTTTGAGAGCAGAAATATATAGAGAAGTACTTTCGGTTGGATGGCACCTGTGTTCTCATCTCTCATGAAACTGTGAGAGGTAGGAAAGTGTATTATGAATTAATGTGCATATACACATGATTAGCTAAAACTTTTCTTTCATAATTTAAGGTGGTTTTTGAGGCAGTATAAAAACTAGTATGAAAACTCTAGTGAGCTGTGAGCTGGGATTGCAGCAGAAATATGTTGCTAATCTTTGTGTTGGAGTTTTTTTGGCATTTGACTAAGAAAATGCATATTACTACTTCTTTTCTTCCCACCACCTACATCAGCAAAATGTTTCTGATTTTAAGCAAGTATTTTAATATAATCTGCAGGTCTCATTTGTTGTTTACAATTAGAAGTTTGTCTTACAACATTAGCTGTACCCAGTGGTTATCCAGTGTATAAGTCTTTACTGAAATATGAAATTCCAGTTGTCACTGCCATAGCTGTAGCAGCATAGCACTCATGGGTGCAGGACAACCTCTGTAACTAATCTCTTCCTCTAATTCTGCCCCATTTAGAATAAATGCAGCATTTTGTAGTGCTGCCTTTCTGCTGACTACATATTGCTGTTAATGATTGTGAAAGTCTTTAGGATCTAATGAATATCCACAATGTAAGTTGCTAAAGATCAGGATTGTCAGCTTTGAGCTGAATTATGTTCCAGCTGCCATTTGGATACAGCATAACTAATCATAACTGATTAAAATAGCGGGGATATTTGGGTTGGGGTTTTTTGGTTTGCTGGTTTTTGGGGCGTTTTTTTAGGGCCGTTAGGAGGGAGTTTTTTCCTCCTTATTGGATGCAGGGAGAAGGGTAAATGACAAGGAACAGTTGGCAAATTCCCTGATAAATATTGATGCCTATGGAGGAGAAGCAGGAAAATGAGCCAGTTTTTCTAACTGCAAGGAGTTCTGGATATGAGACAGATAACATAAGAAGCAGTTATTTATTCCAGCAGCAGGCAACCCGGGGTGTGACTACAGAGTAGTTTAATCCAATCTAAATCTAGACTGCAGCAGTCCTGCCCACGGCTAGTCTCATGTTCCCACTGCCTCCTTGTGCTGGTAGTAGTGCTCCAGCAGCCTTGCAGTGAGCTAGCTCCAGTTTTAATTCCAAGGTTGGTTTTTTTAGGGGGTTTGTTGTTGCTTTTTTAAGGAAGTAGGGAGCTACTTTGGCATAATCAACTATGTAGCATAGAAGTACAGATAGCAGTACCAGTAAGCAGCAAAAATGCATGGCCAGAGATGGGGGAAGGCTGGACTTGTGACACTGTTACACAACTGTGATTTCATGTTACGATTTAAAGCCAGTGCTGCTGTTGTACACAGGAGTTCTGTCTGCCTATTGCTGATTTCTGTCCCTGTGCAGGCTTCCTTGTGTTATCATGCCTTGTGGATCTGACCTGCATTAAAACTAATGTGGCAAAAATACATTTAGTGTTTAGTTTTAAACTGGATTGATTTACAGATACAGTTTACAGAAAGGTTGCTCGGGCTGGAAGAAAGGGAAGGGTAATGTCAAAGAAGAATGTCTAGGGTATGGGGCAAATAAAGGACCAATTCTTCTAGTTACAGTACCATCTTAAATTATCACTAGTAATGACTTTCATTGACCTTTCTTTGCATGGAGTCTGAAGTTCAGGGAGCTACCAGTAAGTTATTTTTCCATACAAAATAGAAAATCAGGCACTATGCTACAGTTCTGCCTGTTGGATCAATTACTTTTGATACTATGTATCCAAATGACAGAAGCAGTTTGTTAATGTTTCCAGTCACAATGAATGATGAAAAGGCTGGAAATTAGGTATAAGTTTAAAATACTGCTGTTCAAATGAAGGTTTGAGTTTGCATGAATGAAATTAAAACCTTCATTTTCTGTAAACTGTGAGTTACATGGAGCTGAGCCCTTTTCTCTCCATTAGAAGCTGAACATAGTTCGTTTCTTAGATCCCATTGCACTCATTTGTTGAAGTTGTCTCATATGTACAGGACATGCCATTTACTAGGTAAGTTGTTAACAGTGGAGGATTTCGGAAGAGTACAAAATCAGTACTGATGCAGACTTCACATGCTTTTAAAGATTGTGATAATACACTTTCAGTCACTTTTAGCTATAACAGTGGCCTCTGCAGTTTAGCACCTGTCCTTGAACGCAGATATAATATCTGATTTTATTCATTGAGCTACACAGAACAGTCCTTCATCTGAAAAGGAAACCTACCCATTCAGTTAAAGGTGTGCTCCAGATACGAGCACGAATATTCCATTTATTGAAGGGATACCATTTGGGGGAGGAAGGAGGTGGATGATGTAGCCTGTGTTACTAACAATGGTTTGACACACTATGCACTGTTGGGGATTATAAACTGCTAAACTGGTGTTTAGGAAAACAAAACAACTCAAAACAAACAAAGCCTTTCATGTGAAATAATGTAGGCCTTTTATGCAAAACTTGTAAACTTGGATTTCAGTAACGTTTATGACATCAAAGGATCCCTTAAAAATTCCAAGTTGTTAAAGAATTCCTTTGCTGCTGTTGAAGTACAGCCATGCCAGAGGTGAGATACAATTGCTTTTCCTGTAGGAACATATCAGTAAAATAAAATTTGCAGGAGAAAAAAGTCTGATGTCCATACAGTACTCTGTTGAACCTTCTAGAAAAGTCAGACCACATTTCTGTATTCAAGCCCTATGAGAGGGAATATATTCAAAAGCAAGGAAACATGAACAAGATTTTCAAGCTGCAATCTTCAGAATTTTGAGCAGTGTCCAAGGCAAATTACCCTTATACTCTTCTTGCTGAGCTTATCCTCATGTGACTTCCTTTAGTAATATTTGTGGTGTATGCCTAATCCCAGGAGATAGTGAGAGATGATAGTGGCAGTCCACACTGCTTTAAATATCAGGAGAGATGAAATGGCTAATTTTTTTTTTTTTTTGCTGTGGGGTGGGGGTTGAGACTTCACTAACTTGTTCTCTACTGTACTTGTATTATGCTAAATTTTGTTCTTAAAATTAGTATAATATATTACTATAGAAGCAAATTACCTGTTTTTGCAAAGTTCTTGAAATTGGAGTCTGACATTTAATAGTGTTCTAGTCTTATGTGTCAAAGTTTATGAGCTGTAGTTTTGGGAGTTGTTACTGAAATTGTACACAAAGCGTAAAAAGTTCCTAATATTGTGTGAGAAGGTCCAAGTCTTGATAATTCGTATTGGTTGGTATCACTGATTTTTAGATAAAAGATATTTTAACTCTATCTTAGGGTAGCTTGTGTTGACATTTTCAAATTTGTCACAGAATAGGATAGGTTTCATTAAAACTCAACCTAACTGAGTTTTTATCTTTTTATTTCTTAATGCTGATGGGAAAGATGTGTGCTAAAGTCTTCACAAATAATTCCATGGGAGAGGGTATCGTTAAGGTCTTTGAAATGGATCTTAATGTCTTTGCCAACTTCAAGCAGCAAGTTTGTTGCACAGCCCAGACAGTTTGACTCCTGAAACAGACAAATGGGTCTTTACAAGCCTGAGTTTCTCAACTTCAGGATAAAATGACAGGTTCAAGGGGGGATATGTGGTAGGGAATTCGGGAAGGCGGTACCTTCCTAGTACCTCAGCCAGTGGGGTAAGGAAGAGGGCAATGTGCAGCTGGGAGTTCAGGATAAAACAAGGCTGCACCCTCCAAAACTTCAAGACAAAAAATCCCACGGGTGTGTGCCCCAGGGACTCTCTTCCTCCCTTTATTCTAATCAAGTTGCAGGACTCTGTCTCTAGACACTGGCTCACTGGCTTTTCATAGCATGATTTTTCCACACAATGCCAAAAGCTGAGTTTAGCTTTGGTCATTAATGCTGTCTTTATTTCACAATTATGCAAACGTTAAACTTTTGGAGATCACATAAAATCTGGTAACTGGTAATCTGCACCAATTTTAAGTCTTAGGCTTAAACACTGTAACTACAGATACATTTACACATTCTACATATCCAGAATTGGATTAAGAGTTAAGCTGCTTTTGTTTGTCTTTTGTTTAAACCTATCCCTGGACATAAAATTAAATGTTGAGGTGAACAGAGATATGCTCTTAATGGTTAAACATACTGCACATATCAGTTGAATACAACAGTGGTACAAGTCATGCTATATATGTTTTTAGTTATATACTGCTGTTTCTTAATGTTCTCTCTTTTTCCTTCTGATTACTTTTCAGGTCTGTTAACTTGACTATCTTTCCAGTGATGAAACAACATTGGGAATTATGGACAAAAACATTGGAGAGCAGCTTAACAAAGCTTATGAAGCCTATCGACAAGCATGCATGGATAGGGACCATGCCATGAAAGAACTACAGCAAAAAGTAGGTGTTGGAAGCTGAATTCTATCTTTAAAGCCATCCTTCCCATGGAGGATGGTAGTACATGTATATACCAGTTTCACTTTAGCTATGCACACCTTAGCGCATCTGTTAAAGTTGGAAATTGCCATTATGAAACCATGTCAGTACACTGCAAAGTAACTCATTAGGCTCTGAATTTAGTGGGTGGGTTTCTAGTTTTGGACCTTTTTTTTTTTGTATTTTTAATTGCTATAAAGGTTGGAAAAGGGTTTTTGGAGGATTAATGAATTCTTCTAATGTAAACACAGCAAAGATGTATAAAAAATTTTCCTAACTTTAACAAAGTACTTTTTGGAATTTAATTTGCATTCTTAAAAATTAATTGTTTATATTATTAATATAAAAAGCTTAAATTAAACAATCTTTGTGACAAATGTACCTGAAAGTTGCTAGAATAAGCATTCCTCTTTTAAAAATAACCAGTACATTTATTCTTTACTGCAGCAACAGAAAGTTTCTGGAGGCGTTCTGACCAGTAAGAAGCACCTTTGAAGTATTAGTTAGTCTGTTGCAGAAAACATTAGTTCAGTCAAAACTCCTCTAGAACTTCTCAAGTAGGATAGCATATTTCAAAGCTGTCAGGTTTGGGCTTTGTCACAGTCTTTTTATCATGCATGTTCTGCCCAGCAATGGCACCTCTGTTACAGGCAGGCTTGAATGTTTTCGTTGCTACAGGACTTTCTGACACTCAATAGAACTGCTCGGCTGGGACTTAGCTCAGGGGCCAATGAACCATATTCCATGTCAAGTTATGGAGCAGTAGTAGAATTGGAAGCAGGGAAGGATCTAATAGAGAATGTTCTGATATCTGGACCCAATCTTGCTATCTCTTTGCATGGCAAAATTAACTAGCCAAGGCATCATAGAACAAACACATTTCAAGTCAGTCGTGTGTGCAATCATCCACTGTACAGTCTGTCTCTCTCATAGACTTGCAGCAGTGCTGGTGTAAATCTGTAGAGGTCTCTTTACATAACAAGCATAAGTAGTGTGATTTTTGTGCTGAAATTACAACTAATTAACAAAAGGCAAGACATTTTAGAATGTTTAGGGATCTTTTAAATTCTGTCTCTTAGGGTGAGCTATTAACTATTTGAAGAAAAGCCAGTTAAGTTAATACTCCTGAACAATCTAAAACTACAGGAAAGAATCTTCTGACCAAGAAGCAAGGCATCGAGTACAAGATGAGATAGTTCTTCCAAGGTCTATGCAAGAAAGCCAGAGAAGTGTGAGATCATCAGTGCTAAGTGAACTAAATGCTTGCAAGATTGCTCTCTGCATTTTTAATGGTTCAGAAATTTAAAATTTAAAGCCTTTCATAGAGGATTACTACCAGTTTAAATCTTTGTCCTAATCAAACTTTCAGTAGTTAAATTTTATGATTTCAAAAGAGAACAAAAGTATTTTTTCAAGAGTTGATACTAAAATTACTTGTTTTAATATTTATGTTGCTTTTTTTGAACCAAACTCCTCTGTTATTTGAATGACCTTTTTTACAGTACTTTAGTCTAGTAACTTCCTCTGTTCATTGTGTGGCCTCCACACACTGTTGGATTGTCCACCATGCTGTTGTTAACAGTTTACTACTTAAGTTACCGATAGGCCACTTGTTTTGCCAGTCTCTAGAGCTGGGAGCCATGTCAAGCACACAGAAGCCAGAGTCATCTCGGCCAGATGGTGTTTGATACAGATGGATGGTTGGTTGTCATGCAGATCTTCTAGTTGGTAACTTGTTGCTGCCATCTGACTCAAGGAATAATTTGTGCACACTGGCTGTCAAAAGCATCTTCTCTTCTGTCTGTTTTAGCTGTCATGTCTGTGCTCTGTACAGAAGTGTTGACAAGACATTGCTGTTGTACATTTTCAATTTGGTTCTCAGTGATTTTTCTGCTTCATGAGGTCTCTTGTAGCTGCTGGAGTGTACTGCTCTTTGATCACTTTTTTTTTTTTTTTTTTTTTTTAACACAACTAAAAATCTTCTCATAGTACAACTACCTGGCCTTTCAAAATCAATTTTGCTTGTAGATTTTTTTCCTGCCTGCTTTACAGACAACACAGTGGACAGTAGGAGGGTATAGAATTTAAATGTGGCTGAGATTTGAGAATTAGATGGCCCTATGGCTAAACTATGAATAGACATGAAAACAATGCTGAGTCTTGTCCCAGATGGTGGCAGGTGGTGACCTCTTCAGTAATAGACATATTCCTAATTTCAGAAAAATTCAGTGCATTCCTGAAAGTTTTCTTGTTGGGATTTCACAAGTTTTCTTGCTTGTTTTTAGCACTGCTGTAATTGCAGCATTAGGCATGTGCTAATGAAATAATAGTTTTGAATATTAGCATCTTCTTGCCACCTGACCATTCATTCAATTAATGGACTGTCTAGCAAAATTTACAGTTTGATGAAATACAAGCAGTATTATTAAAGGAGTCTGTGTGGCCTGTTTATAGCATGAATTGTAGTATTGGAGACAAAGGACGTCTTCCTCCCCAGCCACATTATGTAGGTTAGAAAAACTAGCCCACTACATTCAAAGAAATGTACAAAACTGTTCATAGGCAGTCAAAATGTTTACGGAGTTTCTGTTGTATGGAATAAACAATGTTGTTGTTTTCCATTTAAAATCTACCTTTTAAAAAGCCTATTTTTATATTATTTGTTAGAAAATATGGGGGGAAAATTACTTTTTTCTATAGATAAACTGACAAGCATTCTGAAGAATATTAAAATTTTAATTTGAGCTCCATGTATTCTACATCTGTAAATTAAGAATCCTAACTTAAAAGTTACCCTTTACAACTGCCACAGCTGAAAGAGTTATTAAAACTCAGGGGTTATTTCCTATAGTACCTTTTCTAATCAGTACAGTCCCAAAAAGATGGACTTGCCAAAGGTTTTTACACAGACAACCACAAATACTGTTATCTTTAAAAATCAGAGCTGCTTTTTATATGCCAAATAGGAGACCCCTAGTCAAAACAGAATAAGATTAATGCTAATTAAATTATATTTGCAGACAGAAAACTACATGCAGCAAATACGTGAACAGCAGGAAAAGATAGAGCTTCAAAACAGCATTATTGCAAAACTGAAATCACAGTTGGCTGCTCTGAATGCTAATAGAGGTATGTACTCCCGTTTGCACATGATTGCTTTTTATGCTGTGTTGCACTGATGAATAGTTCTGACTTTGTTGCTTCAGTTTTTACAATATACATATTTCAAATGAGTATCATACTTTCCTGTGAATGTGAGAGTTAACACAAATGTGCCGTTTCAAGATCTATTTATAAAATTCAACACTTCTGGGGTCTCTCTTTATCCTCTTCAAGAAATGGTGAGATTTTCTATAGAGGTAGAATCTGCTTACACTGAAGCCAATAAAAGTTATGAAAATATGGGTTCAAATAATTTGCTACATTTTTTTAAAAAAATTGTTACATAATTATTTTTACACTCAGGTTGTTCTAGATGTGACTGCTATGATTATATGTCTTTTATGTTAGATGAGTCTTGTGATGCTAATCTTACTGCATAACCAGAACTTTATAAGCAGGTAATTCTCTTTCAGATCAAATAGTCATTGATGGATAATTTTTCACTGTTTGACTGTATTACACAAATAAGAGAAAAGAGTCAAAGTAACCATGTGTTAATCTGCCATGCTCATTAAATATTTATTCACACTAGCCTAACACTCCTGGTTTTCATAAATACTAGCAAAGTGGCTGACTTTTATTTCTAAGAGTACATGTACATTTCTTTATTGCCGATTTAGTCTTGCATTGTCTCTAAGCACAGAATGTAGCATCTCTTGCTTGTTTAATATGAAGGCTTTCTCAAAGAACATAAAGAAGTTCATATAAGTCTAGCTTCTTTTAATTTTGCTTTTACTAGAAGCTGACTGTGAAAAATGCAGCGATAGTCAGTGGCTTTTTTTTTTTTTTAATTTAAGGCAATGCACATCCTTACATTCTGGTGCAAGAAGACGTTGAAACATCCAACTTACCTTTCAGGCAGCTCTCTGAAAAACTGAACATAGCAAAACAAAGAGAAAAACTCCTAAAGGTATGTCACCTGCAGTAAGTTCACTTTTGTGCTGTGAGAACCTAAAAGATTCGTGAGATTTTTACAGGTGCCTTTGAACGGAACAAGAAATGCTGTCTCACACATTAATCCTGACCCTGGCAGAAAGATGATAAGATGCCACACACATGAAGTGCATGAGCGTTGTGCCACTGCAGCCTGTTTAGGTGAAGTAAGCATTGTCTTTGGTACTTCCCAGGGAAATCCCAAGTTTGGCCATCAAGCTCTCTAGAACAGTTTTGATCATAAAGCAAGAACTTAGTTGATTATTTGTTTCTTAACTTGCCAAAACCCCTAAAAGGGCTTTTTCTTTCTTATAAGAGCATTTCACATTGCAAACAGTCTCTATATTTTTGCAAGAAATGGAGAATCTGCACTCGAAAAGTTGTGGAGTGGGAAGTGAATGATCCATTGCTCCAGAGATGCTGATTTATTTGGGTTTTGTAAATAGCCAGTGTTAAGATGATGTCTCTTCTGCCTCTCCTCATTGAAGTAACATTAAGATTTTCACTACAGCCTGTTGAGTGTAACAGGAATGAGAATAAAGTAATAGCCCAGAATAGCTGGGAAATGCCTTGAATGGATTTTACATATTGAGAAAAGACAGTGACAGAAATGCACAGTGTTGCATTGTTCTTATTGTAAATCATCTCACTGTGGTTTTTGGGAGTTGTTGTAACATAAAGTCTCTTATTTTAGAATGCGGATCTCCATAGCTCTATAGCAGAGACTTTGTAAGGGCTGTAAAAAGACCCTTGTGAGAAATCAGGCATTAGAATTAAAAAGAATCAGTTTCAGGATTTATTTCCTAAGCTACAAACAAATTAGTTGTGACAAATTCACAGAAACACATTTTTTATCAGAAATGCAATTTCATTAGATCCACAAGTAATTTCATTGGATTACTGGTACTTGCTTATCCTGAAGGAATCTTTTAAGATTTCTTATACCTAAGGATATAAGAGACTAAGCCTTTGCAAACATTTTAAACATACTGTCAGCAAATATTTATATATCCTTCTTTTCTATTTAAAATAAAGTCTTTATATAATTTTTCTACACCAGAATCTGTGATTACAAGATGTCATTTCTTTCCTAATCTTTGCACTTATTTGGATTAAAACACAGCTGAATAGTTAATTCTTTGGTGGAACATCTTTGCATATTTTTGCAGTTTGCTGTCTTGAGCTGGATAAAAATTATATCTTATGGTTGCACATGAAGATCTGACCAAGTCTAGTATTTCATAGTCTTCTTTCTGAATGCTTAGTAAAGAACAATAGTTTTAAGCAACTTAGTCATATAATGAGTTAGGAATGAAAGGAAGCTGTGTTACCTGCTCATCTTATGAGGAAACACTGAAATAATATGATCTCTACAGGTGATTATAGGCAATGCATGAGAAGCTGGGATCATTCTTTCTGGAGCTATTTTCCTAATGGAATGTAGGTTATTTTCTTTATCTGCCTATTTGTTTTGTGTAGCCCGTTACTGCAGTTACCTCTCAGCAACAGGTATTTCATCTGGATTTGGCTTCTTCTATTCCATGAGCAGAAATATTTGTGAAATACCTCCATGCAGAATGAACTATATAAGTCTGTCTGCATGGTGGTGCATTTAAACCCAGGCACATTGCTATTCAAATAAGGTCTTTTTAGAGGGGATGTGTAGAGATTTAAACCTGTGCAAAGTTGGGTTGACCCAGCCTATTCTCTGTTCCTGTTACTAGGAAAAAGCATGGAGCTTGAGAAAGTATGTTTGGCTGGACAAAGGCTGCCTTCTGCAGAGGCACATGGATATATTTGCAGCATCCTTTCAATGCAAGGAGGACCCTAATGTTTGGTATTGTTTCTAGTAAACTTGCACTGATCTGGCAAGAGTGAAACAAAAATGTCCAGACAGCACAGCAGAGGTACACACACTTGTACTAGCTCTGGCTGTGTCTTGGCCATGCAATTCATGGCTACAAGGGAAGATATACAGCAGTGTGTCTACACAAGTTATTTTATTGAATAAAAAAAAAACCCCACAGTAAGCCAGTGGAATTCATGCTTCAAGGGAAAATTGGACAACTCTGTGGAAGAGACATCTGTTGAGAGTTAATAAATAGATGGAAACTATTACTAAGAAGATCTGGGAATTTATTAACAGATATATCATGAATGTCTCCTGTTTTCTTGTACTTTTTTCCCCCCAGATGTCATATTTTGACATCTCTTAAACTGAAAATCCACCATCCTGTCACTGACCTAGTATAGTTTTCTTGTACCTAATTCAATAAAGTATTGGCTTTTTCAGGTATTGAAATTTGGAAGTTTGAATATTCTATTTGAAAGCCTGTATTTTTCTAATCATATTCTATCCACAATCTGCTCTAAACCAAATAAATTATTCCTACAGCCATTGTCCTCTACACTGTCCTTGAAATTCAGAGTCTCTCCCATGGCATAAGATGCTTGGGTTTATTGTAACCTTTTGAAACTGTCATTTGCTAAGTCCAGTGGGATTTTTCAGGGACTGTATTCTGTCCTGCAGTAAAGTTAATAGAAATCCTGAATTGATTGGAATAGGTGCATGATTAGAGCTTGAATTTTAGAAGCTTAAAATGAGGGAGGAGCTAGCTTTTCTTTGTTTTCTAGTAGATGGCCATACATGTGTATTTTATATGCTGTTATCAAGGTCTGTTGCCTATGTGTCATAAAACGCTTTGGGATTTTTTTTGTTCACGTTTGTCTTCACTGAAAAAAGTGAGCAGGCCAGATTGACTTGGTGGTCAGTAGCCAACTATATAAACATTACCAGAATTTTTCAGCCCTCTGCTTGAGAAGACCAAAGGTGCCTGTATTGCTGCCTCGTTTTGAGACCCTGGCTAAACTTTATTAAGTAGGAAGAACTGGGATCCAGCCCCTGTCTCAGAGCCAAAGCTGTGCAGCAAACCAAAAACCTTAGAGATGAGACAATGTCAAGCTTCTACTTTTTAGTACAGTCAGACATCAGAATCCTTGTGAACTCAGCAAGACATGAAGCTAAAGTCAACTCCTGTGACAAGAAAACATGCTTATGATCCCATTTTGCTGGTTCAAGAACCTCAGTATTAAACACTGTCTGGAATTTGTTTGCCAAGAGTGTCTTGTGCCATGAAAAGGAGGAAGAAGCTGTGTGTCAGGAATGAATGATACAAATGTTATACAAAACTCTTCATCCTGCAATAAATGTTTAGCTTTTTTGTGCAGGACATAAGAGCAGCTACTGCAGCAGTCTTGTGGATTTCCATGTTCCAGTCCATACCAGCTTTGCTGGTGTCACTTCGTTTCCTATCTTTAATGCAAAGAAAACTGTACTTGATTTTTTTTGCTGGCTGATAATATTGTGTGTTTATCTGTTCTTTGCTACTGGTACAATGTATGCAGTGGGATTAGGCCCTAAGATATAAGAAATTCTGGTATTGATAGCCGTTTCTCCTATTGCTTCTTCTGTTTAATCTCTCTCTACCTAATAACAGAAAAGAGTTTGTGGGGAAACTGTTAAAAGTCACAGTTAATATTCCTTGAGACCACTTATAGCTCATCAGTTGAATTGTGTTTTTCCTTGAAACTACCTGACCATTGATTTGTTTTAGGAAGCCACTGAAACAGGCCATTATAGCACACTTCAGGATAAAATAAAGGGACCTGCCTTTGCTGCAGTAGAGTCTGGGGGCTGACTGGCTGCGGAGCAGCTCTGCTGGAAAAGAGCTGGGATCTTGTTAGACAGCAAGCTGAGCATGAGCCAGCAGCGTGTCCTGACAGAAAAGAAGGGCAACAGCTCCCTGTGTTGTATTAACAGGAGCACAGCTAGTACAGCCAGGGAAGTGACTATCATCTCCCTCTATTCAGCATTCACTGGACTGCATCTGGAATAATACATTGGGCTCAGGGACCTCCAGTACAGGAAAAACATTCACAAACTACTGTGAGTTCAGCAGAAGCCCCACTGAGCTAACTGGGGGCTTGAGTACATATCCCATGAGAAGGTGTAAAAACTGCTCCTGTCCAGCCTGGAGAAAAGGTGGCTTCAGGGAAAGCTAATATCATTCCAATACCTACATTCAGGTTATCAGGCCGATGGAGCCAGGCTTTTAATGATGTTGCTGATGTCTAGAGAGGCTGCCTAGAACAGTGTTAAAGGAATAAAGTAGGTGTTTATTGAAAGGCCTTTAAAGGATGCACCTTGGGCAGTACAAGAGCCTGGCCATGGCTCCACCCAAGATGGACCCTCACCATGAGTTTTCACACTTTTCTAAGTTTTGGTCCATTTACATATTTGGGTTATTTGTCTAATTACAGCTTCGGGTTATGAAGTCCTATCCTCCCAGATTGCTCTCCTCAGTTCACCATTGTTTACACTTTTTGGGCCTGAAGCTGCAATGGTGTCCTTTGTTCTAAAGCTGGAAAAGGATCGTTTTGTCTAACGAAACTGTGAAGAGAACTTGCTAGCACTTTATGTGAAGTTCAGAGTTACTAATCTCTGAAGTTCAGAGATAGTAATGCAGTGCAGAATCTGGAAAATATGAAAACTAAAACTTAAGGCAGAAGTATAATAGACAATGGGAAGATGAAACAGGAAAGGTCAGACTGAACATAGGGGAAAACATTTCACCATGAGGACAGCCAAGCATGGGAAAAGTGCAGTCTTCATCCTTGGGAAATTCAAGGCTAAACTGAGTAACCTGATCAGACATTGTAAATGACCCTGAATTGATTAGAAGCTAGAGAATCCTGGAAGTCCCTTCCAGTTTTGGTTATCCTCTGATCCTATAAAGCTTCTGCAGAAGAAAAGATACTGGTCTGTTCATAATACATATGTGACCACTTTGCTGACAGCTAATACCAGCATGCTTAAAAGATCCATTGTGTTGCCAACTACTTAGCAGGTATGACCTGTGTGACATATTTATAAAATTTATAAAATTTATGAAGTTTATCAAGCATTAGCTTTGTAATCTTCAGCCAGTTTAGAAGGGTTACTACATCATTGCAAACTGCTAGGCACAGCATTGGAAACTCTTAAGATCATCAGGTTATGAAGAGCTGTATTGTTGAAAGTTCCCTAAAGGTGTAAATGTTTTTCCAGTGTTTTTCCTGGTATTCTGATGGTGCACAGGAATGATGATTTCCATCAGCATGTACTGATACATCTTCACTGTAACATGTTGCATGGCTCTTCTCAGTGGCTTTTTCCCCTGCTTGCTTAAATCTTGTCCTCACTTCCTGCAGATGTAGAAGAAATGGAGGACAACTACTGGCTATTACTGCAGGGTCTCCAGTTATCTGAGAGCCTTTGAAAGCCCACATGTGAATTGGAGCTGTAATAGTCTCTAAGAGATAAATTCTGCTGTATCACAGGCTCAGTGAGTTATTATACTGTCCTTAAGATATAATTGTTCCTCAAGGACAAGTGCTATCTTTGATGAAAGCTTTTTCCTAGGTGTTTGGATTTCCAGCAAATAATGATGAAGGAAAACACAGGAGAAGCTGTATCCCTTTACCTTTTATTTAAATGGGAAATTGAATTTGACCTGTCAGAAAATCATAGTAGAGTTAGGATTAAGGAGTTTTGCTGGGATTGAAACATGCCATTTTTAGAAAATGTTTTGAAGTCACTGAGCAGAAGAGGCTTAATCTGGATCTTTAAGATGCCACCCAAGTCTGGAGTTGCATTGAAGCTCTTGTTGTAGATTTGCTATTCAAAGTTGCAATTGAAACTATAAACCAAGGACTTCAAAGCTATTTTTCTGCAGGTTTTTCTTTTTTATCAGCTAGTTTAACTTTTTTAGGCTAAACAGTTTTGTCAGCTGCATGTACACACATCCCTGCTTAGCTAGCTGGTGTCTTGGTAAACCAGCTCTGGACCTATCCCTGCATTGCTGTCTTTGTCTTGCAGGGTAGCCCCCAGACACCTGATCTCCAAATGCACAACCTCACCCTATGTAAGTTCCATTTGAAAATAAAACAAAAGGTTTTGGAAAAGCACTTAGTTGCTCCTTTCCTCTTCATCTTACCCTACCTGTCTACAGACTATATTCACTGACATTCTTCTTTAAGAGTTAACCCTTTGGGCTTACTTCTCTTGCAGAGACAGTCATGGGGTGTAGCGGGGCTTGGGGACGCTTTCTGTGACACTTGATACAGTTCCCTAGATTTCATAAACTAACAACCATAAGGTTTTCATAGTAGCAGTTTTAATTGTTGGTTGTTTCTTGAAAATTTTTGCAACTACTATCTTTGAGCATATTAAAATTGTTTATTATTTTCTTCTTTATTCCACAAAAATCCCACGTTTTTAAAAGTTCCATGAATTACTAGATGGATCATCGAAGTGAGAGCAGCCAGGGTTTTTTATTCCACAAATCTTTATAGGACTGAAATATTTGCAATACAATCCTGGTTATACATAAAGATTGGAGGATGAGAGGCTGGAGAGCAGCCCTGCAGAAAGAGACCTGCAGTTTGGATTGATGGCAAGTTGATAGGAGTCAACAGTGTGCCTTGGCAGCCAAAAGGGCCAGCTGTGGCCTGGGGGGCATCAGGCACAGCATCGCCAGCCAGGCAAGAGATGGGATTTTCCTGCTCTGCTCTGCAATGCTGTAGCCCCACCTCGAGCACTGTGTGCAGTTTTGGGTGCCAAAAAAAAGGAAATCAAACTATTAGAGTGTGTCCAGAGGAGGGTGACCAAGATGGTGAAAAGTTTTGAAAGCAAGAATTAGGAGGAGCAGCTGAAGTCACTTGTTTGTTGAGCCTGGAAAAGAGAAGGCTCAGGGATGACCTCATTGCAGTTGACAACTCCCTCAGGGGCTGCGGTGGATGGGGAGCTCCTCTCCTCTCCTCTCCTCTCCTCTCCTCTCCTCTCTCTGGTGAGCAGCGACAGGACAGGAGGACATGGAATGAAGTCACATCAGGGGAAGCTCAGGTTGGAAGCTCATTAGGAAAGGATCCTTCACTGAGACCGTTGTTGGTCACTGGAACAGGCTCCCCAGGGGAGCACACTGAGCCTCTCAGAATTCGAAGTGTCTGGACAATGCTCTGTGGTTTAGGTTTAGGTAGTCCTGCAAGGAGCAGGGAGTTAGACTCAATGATCCTTATGGGTCTCTTCCAATTGGAGATATTCTGGGATTCTGTGATTGTGTGATTGTGTTCTTGGGTTTGCTCAATTTGCAGAATCATCACTATGCTCAAAATGGTATAAGATTGAAATTAATTAAATACTATTTTATGTATCATATATGCAAAATATTATACATAAAATGTTAATGTAAATTATATAGTAAATGAACCAAGAAAGTGTCTTTATTTTGTGTAAACACTAATATGACTTTGAGAAAGATAAAGTTGTTTTGAGTAATCACCTATGATGAATTACAGCTATGTGTAGTGGTAGAAGATCTTCACTATCAATTGAAAATTATTAATGTAATAAACAAGACTGACCCTTACTTATGATGCAAAACCTACATTTAGCTTATTATAGACTGCTGAAGAGTGATATTCCACAAGCCTTAAATTTATTAATTGTACTGGTGTTTCTAAAATTATTTTTTAGGAACAGTTAGACAGTGAGAGCATGAAATTGAAGCAACTTGAGGACAAAAGCAATCAAAAGGAAAGGAAGCTTTTATCTATTATTTCCAATCAAGATGATAAAATAAGAAATCTGGAAAGCAAATTGCAAGAATTAAATGAAGCACAAAAGGGTATACAGACGCCAACATATAAAAGGGAGGTAAGATAAGAAACCAAGTAGAGATAAAATAAAAAAGACAAACATTTGTAAATTATTACTTCTTTCAAACATGACATGTTTGGAATTCATACTAATTATTCAGATAAGTTTGATAAGTTTATTTTAAATGTTGTCATTCTATAATTACTAGGAAATTGTTGAATTATATAAAGCACATAGGGAACACCATTAAATACTTATTTGTTAGTTGGTATGTTAATTATTTTATGGTATGTATTGAAAATTTTCGTATTTGTCAAAACTCCAGATTAGCGTTTCTGGTTTATAATTTTCAGTTGGAAGTTTTCACCAAAACTGAGTTGATTTTTTCATTTTTATGCCACCCTATTTTTGTTACAGAATAGCATCCAAGGTGCTATCCTGTCCTTGTGGGATAGCTAGAGTGCAGTCATTGATGTGAATCTAACCATGTATATACATATTAGCTACCTAATTTAAAGTGAACACAGGTAAGCATAAGAGCACAGCAACACAGAACTTGTTGCTATTAGACCTCCTAAGCATTGCTTAGTTTACTGTGGCAAGGACTTGTATCCTGTGTTGCTGGGTGTAAGGCAGCTCAAATGCATTTACAGGGGCTGCAGCTGCACTTCAGCCTTATAGGTATAAGGTCTTATATATAAGACCTGCCTCTGTTTATAGGCAATGGATCAGCTTATACAGATTTCCAAGCTTACACATCTTTGAAATCAGCTGATTTGGCAGGCGTGCTCAAGTTCGTGTCTGACTTGGAGCACATATGAACTACTCAGGCCATCTGGTAATGCAGCTCTAGTGGAACTGCAGCTTAGTGACTGGTTATTATGAAAACTTCCCTTAATGCCTGGCAGATGTAAAACTATGTAATACTGGAGTGAACCACACGGTGGTAGTCAAAGTTAATAACTTATTTTAAAAACTGCTAGAACTCCTGACATAGTAGCTTCCGATGTGTTCATTGAAATTTTCAGTGAATAAATTGATTTTTAAGAGGTAAAATAGCTGGGTAACAAGCTTATACAAAAGACAGAATCTTACCTTATACATGACTGAAAACTAATTACAATCAAGCAATATTCTTAGAACTAGTTCCCTTTCAAGGGAGTATGAGCAGAGAAATGCCACACTGAGCTAATAAGTTAACCTAAAAGGAACTAGCAATTTCACACAAACTGCTTTTGTAATTTTGACAATGCTTTGAGAGCTTTCAACAGGACTAGGTGAAGGACCCCATGACATTTTTATTCATATCAAGGTGAAGCGCAAAATTAGTATGCTAACGTGCTCAATATTTTCATATTTTACTTCAAGGTGAAAAGTAAGAAAGTTGTTCCAGATAAGCCTGAATTATCTCTAGGGATCTCTGGTATTTCACCTGAAAGGTAAATACTTCGGCAGCATTTTTCAAATTTGCTTTTGGCTTTTCTGCAATTAAGTAAGGCCAGCTATTGCCCTCTTTTCTCCACAGCACCTTAAGAACTGGCTGGGCAGGGAGTCGGGAGGGGGCAGCATCAAAGGTTAAAGAGCTAATGCAGGGAGATAATAGAGCCAACAATTACGTGGAGTCATAGCTGGGGCTTTACAAGTATGGAGGGCTAAGCTGGGAGGGAGGAAGTTATCCACTGGGTTCAGCAGGAGGTTGAACTCTGGGAAACGGCAATGGATGTTAATGCTGGGGTTTGAATAAGGATTCACTGCCTTGCATTAACTTCTGGACAGGAATGTACAGCCATTATGGATTAACTGATGGCAGCACAGGAGCCTGCTGTGCTGCCAGGAAGCACTCTGATAGGCAGCATGAAGAAATAATTCTTGGCCTGATCCATCCCAAATGAGATAGTTTGAAACCAAGTTTATCTGTAAGTTGAAGGCAGCAAACCCCTGCTATGACCAAGGCATGAAAAGCAGTAGATTTCCTCTTCTGCCAGTGATTTCAGAAAAATATTGAACAAAGTCTTAGGTTTATATTTTTCATAGGGTAGCCAGTAATGCCACTTTTAACCACTTTGCTGGGGTCAAATAGGAGATTCTCTAAGATGAGGTTAGGGGAGTATTAGGGGAAAGTATCAATTTCTTGCTTTCTTCTTATTCTCTTGCTTAGGCATCTGCTTTTGACCACTCCCATACACAGGCTAGGTGAACCATGTGGATCTTTAGTCTGGCTCACTACTCTTTTATGATAAAAAAGAGAGGAATAAGACTGTAATGTGAGAAAGACTTGTCTTTTTGATTTATATTTTAAAAATGAAAAACCTTTACCTGTCTTCTGTCCCTCTGCTCTCAAATAGCTTCCTTACTTTACTGTTTTCTTGGAAAGAGGTATGTGACTGGTAAGATTGCTGGTAATCTTACACTAGTAAGATTATAGTATCACAAATGTCTAGCAAATTAAGACTGCTTCGTCTAATCATAGCTATATTTTAAACTTCTGAATAGAAACTTTAAATTTTTTTTATTTCTTATTTATCTAAACACCTGGAAAATCACTAGAATGTGTTAACAGTAATAATTTTAACTACTTCTGTAGATCTTTTTTTCAAATAGACAGAGATACAAACAGACATTTTTGTCTTCAGAAAGAGAAACACAACAGAAGTAGGAACAGAGATTGCTGTATGAATAAGCAATAAAAAAGAAAGCAATTCACTGGATTAAAGAAAAATTACTTTTGAGATATTTTGATAAAAAGATGCAACAAAGAACACAAATCCAACTTCACTTTTTTCATCTTTGAAGTTCATTTATAAAATCCATTATATTGTGCTTAAAAATATAAATTACTCAGCAAGTTTATCAAAATTTCACAGTGGAATTTTATGAATGCATCAGTAACTAAATAAGAGTGCCTTTGGGGAAATAAACTCACACCAGCATGAACAATTTTTACCATTCTCAATGCAGATAACTAAATATCAGATTCCCATATGATACTCTGGAAAAGATATAATACAGTCAATGTCTCAGAATAAAAAGAAAAGTTATATCATATTGTATGAAACCAGCGGGAATGAGTTCACAAACTCCTCCCCAAAATGCCAGGTAAACAGAGAAGGAAAGATCTGTAACAAATGTTTGTGTGTTCCTTCTTCTGCAGTCTCAAGTGCACTGGCAACGACAGCAAACAATTAATGTTCACAGTGGCAGCATCTTCTTTTCCCTAGAATTGAGGTGGAAACAGTATCCTTGGGGAAGATAAACTCTTCCACAAAATACCTGAAAGACTGAAAGAACTGAAAGGCTAGATTTTTGGGGGTGGTCCTTGCAGGGTCGGTTCCTGTGTTCAAAAATATATGTGTATGATATGACTAAACAACTCTTTGACAACATTTCCTTTTCCTTTTTCTACTTGCTTTTACTGAGGGGAACAAGAATATGTATACATATGTTGAGGAACAAGATATCCAAGAAAAGTAGCTTATACTATTGTTTTTCTCTGGTTTGTGGTGTGACTAGATTAAAGGTCACAACAAGCTGAATTGGTTGACTCTTTAATTTACGATTTTGATCTTCCAGAGAGAATCTGGAGACTATTTTCCAGGACATGAAAGAAGAGTGTCGTCGAATATGTATGCTAGCCAGAGAACAAACAGACCAACTGAGTATATTTAAGATAAAGCCAGAACCTGAAACTGGTAATATCATACTTAAGCTCTTATTGTGATTCAACTGTTTGAAAGCTTTGCTTTATATTTGAAAATACTGCAAATTACACATACATAGAAGTACTTCCACTGTTTACCATCTGCCTTTTTCAAGTCTGTTCACATGGTGCTCAGTATTTCACCAAGAAAATGCACCGCCAGTTTTGGCATTCTATGACGAATGCTCCAAATCACATGCTATAAAAGACAGTCATCACATCAATGGCTCTTGTAATTGTTTTGTCCCTTGGAGTGAGAGGCAGGCACTTACTACATGTGATATCCCATCATACTGTGTGAATGACAGCACTTGCTTGCTTTTAATTTAGCTGTCAGTTCAAAAGATGTCTGCTATGAATGCCTCTAGCCCCATATCTGTTAGAGGAAAACTGCAGGACTGAGGAGAGTCAGAGGACTTATTTTCTAGACTTCCTTGTGCAGACTTTTAAATACTGATTTCTTATATGGGACAAGAGCTTAATCCAACACTTCCAGAAGACGTAGGGAAGGCTTGAATTTTTGAAACTGTGAGAAATCCTGAGTGTCCAGTTCTACTAATGCTTACCTTTAGTGCAATGTAAGCTACTATGGGTATTCTCTATTAACTTTTCTTAATAGTAGGATCAGACTCTTATTAAGTGATTTCAATAAACACCTGCCAAATGCACACAGCTGAAGCAAAAGATGTTGATTTCAGCATTTGATTTTAATTTAGGTCATCCATGACTGAAGTTTTGTTACATGAAATGCTAACAGGTATCTCGTTGCTTCAAATTGCCCTGTCTGAACTGTATTGTGGTAGTCTGATTGTATGCTAGTAACTTGATTATTTGGGGGTGGGAATTTTGGAGGAAGTGTGCTTGGCAACTTACTTTACAAGAATGGTTTTGATTCCCAACAAAGTGCCTAATTCAACTGTGTGAAAAGCCATACATGATGTAAGCCATATAGATAATAAAATAAGTGCTTAAATCAACTGTGTGTAAAGGTATACATGACAAAACCTATATAAATTTAAAGTTTGATTTGTTACTTCCATGTTCCACTGTCAGAAGGCTGCTGTACAATCAGTTTTTACTGAAGTTATTCTCTCACCTGGTTAGGAGTAACCATTACCATTTTTATTAATTTAGTGTCAAAAATGAAGGGTGAATTCTCGAAACAAAGGGAAAAACATGGTCCCATTTCTGAATAGCTATTCAGTTTAAATATTTAACTAATTTGGAAACCAGTGGGAGTTGGGTACCTGAATACCTTCTAAAATCGTGCTCATGGTGCCTAGCATGTTCTTGGCACTGTGTGAAGTGATTTGGGTTCCAGCTTCTATTTCTGCCAGAACACTTCAGTGAATATGCAAGTATGTGTTAAGAGTATGGGACAACATAATTTTCAATACAATTAAAATGTTTATAGCCATAAATCAAAGAGAAATATAATTACTGGAAGAGAGTATTTCCTTTTATTTCTGTTCTGATAGATTTTGTGTCAGAACTAATGTTTGTGAAAGAGAACTACAACTCAATCTGATTTTAAAGAGAAAATAAAAGTTTAAAAAGCAGGGAAGGAAGACAAAAAAAGTACACCAACACCACATTTTTAATAACTATATTTCAATGGACTATTTAATATTTTCTTCATTCTTTCTTCACAGAAATACAGTTTTCCATGCCGATACAGTGCACAGATAAAACTGATGAACAAGCAGAAGAGCTTTTTAAGCCTCGGGTTATAAAGGATATAAATAGAGGTGCATCATGCATCACATCTATCACACCAAGAGGAGTGGGCCAAGATGAGGACAACAACTCTGTAGAATCACTTTCTAAATTTAATGTCAAGTTTCCACCTACAGACAATGACTCTGCTTTCTTGCAGAGCACTCAGGAAAAACCAGCAATTCCTTGTACTGCTATATCTGAAAACATGCTTCAAGATCATCATTTTAACCTGGAGCACAGAGACCGTGCTGTTAACCTCAGTAAATTGGAACCTAACTCATTTGAAGCTCATGGCATTGATCTCATGACCTCAGCTTTACAAAGTTTAACTACTGTTGACAAAACAAACCCCTCAGATCATGCAAAGATGCCCATAGAAGATATCTGTGACAAACCATGTTTAAAAACAACAGACAGTGGTTTCACATTTGTACCTAAGCACACAACCCAGGGTGTACCTGAAGTAATTTTTTCTTTAGAAGCTGCTGGAACAACCGTCAGAGGTCCTCATCAGGTATTTTTCTATAAATATTCTACATTTCAAAAAATGGTAATGATTCAGATACACCTTTTGCAAAGATCTTTGAGACTGGATTAATATATTCTCTAAGAAAGCTGATCAGTCTTTTTTTAAGGCAATATCTCTTGTCATTTCTTCTTCCTAATACTGCAGAATGTGTTCAAGATGCTTTTCCAGTGAAACATCAGGAATATAAGCACACATAAGCACTGGATGTTTTTACAAATTTCAGTTCATCTAGATATTAATTGCTTCTATATCTATTTCAAAGCTGTCATTAATCCTAAATTGCCCCCTAGATTGCTTTCTTTCTACCCTTGATCTCAGCTGTATAGGGCACACATTTGTTTTAATTGTTTTTCATGTACAGCAGACAATTGGAAAAATGAACCAATTAAAAAGCTAAACGGATAAATATTTCCACTATGAAAAAAAGCTACTTTTTCTCTCAGTCTGAGGTATCAACAACACCCTATTCCTCTGCTCTAAGAAGCTTAAATTTTTGAGATTGTAGGAAAAAAACATTTTTTTTTTTAATGAAGGAAAGATCGCTAAAATACTTTATTTTAGGTTTATGTATGTAATTTGGGCTTAAATTTCAATTATAGCATGAAGTCCATGAGAGCTTCTGAAAACAAGGCCCAGTAGCTGTAATGCAGTAAAACATATTGGCATGTTCGGACACTCATGTCTCTGAATACTTTGCTTCTTTTGTGTAACATCCTGTCTCAGATGAAAGATGGCAAAATTGTGGAGCTTTATGGACTGATGTTGTGTTTGTTTGGTTTTTTATTTCTGTGGGTTGTCTGGTACCTTATGAAAGGACAGATTTTAAAGAATAAGCAAATAGTTTGGAATAATTTGGAATTCTGTGAGGGTGGAATTCACCTATTTTTACCATTTACATGGATGAAATTTATGTTCTTTCCTAATGACAAGGTACATGCAGCAGAAGAGCTTTACCTCTCCATTTGGTCACTGCATGACCTGCAAAACGAGCATTTAGAAAGTGTTGTAGGCCATTATAGCTTTAATGTTTTCTTCTCCTAAAATTTACCCAGTCTAGTTTCATTTTCTATTGCAAACCACCTTTTGAGTGAAATTTTTAAAACATTGAAAGATTGCTGCTATAAGCTTGATTTTTTCAAAAGTTATTTTAAATATCTATTTGTAATGTAGGAGATCTCAATTCTTTACCAACTTATTAATTACAGTTTTTATTGTATTTTTAATTGGGTCCCCAGTTAAAGTTGTGACTAAAGTAAACAAATTACCACATTTACTTTACTGCTAGTAGAATTCCTGTGGAACTGCAAAGAATTCACTCCATTGCTTGTTACTATCCTCCTTTTTCGTATTCCCTCTCCAGCCTGTTCTTTTACTAGTTAGTCTGTGTATTCATTTTTCAATAGATGGCACCCTGCATTGTACATTACAGCAAGTGAAACAGCTGGTATGTGGTTATAAATTGATAGGGGAGTCTGCAGCTTAAAAAGTACAGAACAGTGGTTGAACAGCAGTAAGCTTTTGACCACTGGTATTTCTGCAAAATAAGGAAATTAATTTGGAGCCAGCATTTAAAATGTGAGTGATCTGTTTTGTGGAGAAAAAATCTCTGCTAGCATGCAGAGAAAAAGAAAGCTAATGGTGAACCGTGTGGTATTTGAAAGTCATATCTACAATAGCACTGCATTGATTAAAATGTTATTTCTTATTCAGAAGTTTGTTTGAAACAAGCCAGTATTACATTAGAATCCATTAAATGTACATCTGTGTATATCAGTATATTTAAATATCCATCACCTTTATTCAGCTGCTTTCAAACTAGGTTTTAAGCATTTTTCCCAATTAATTTGACTCAGCTCTAGAGGATTTTTCTGACTGTAAATTTGCTAAAGATTTGGTCACAGATAATATATATGTAGATTAAAAGAGTAATTTTTTTAAGTTACTTGTATACATGCCCTTTTCACTGTGTTAACCTTAGCAAAATTTATGTACAAACTTGTTCTTAGTATTTTTACCACCTTTCTAGGGGGTGGTTATGCTGCTTACAGCTTCTATCATCCCTTCCAAAAATGAAGGAAAAGCCAAAAAGGAGAGAATTGTATACCTCTTTTTTTTTTTTTTCCTTGTGTAGATAAAACTTTCAAGTATTTACTACATATGTTAACTTATAAAATGGAAAACCCCATAAATGCAATAGATTTGGCAACAGCAAGTTCTTGGAACTGCTCTCAGTTGGTGTAATAAATTTAGCTCTTTCCTTCTATATGGATACTAAATCTAAAAACTCAGTACTGTTTTCTTAGAATGTAACTTTAAAAAAAAAAAAACGTGACTGAAAAGAGCAGTAGATTAAAATAAACGTGGATATTAGTGAACCTAGGATTTTACAGACTACATTTAGCTGAGACTTTCATATACATGCACATGTTTATTGGTATTTGCAGTTTGAGGGAGTTATTTCCACCAAAAATACTTCTAAGTATGTTCATGATTTTAAAAGCAATTCAGTATTCTATTAATCTCAATATTAATGTTTTTGAAATGGATTGTCTGCTTAAATAGATCCCTGTTCTGGCAAGGATATTAAGCACAAGCTTAGCACTCAAGAAATGGAAGTTAAGTGTCTCCGTGTGTGGGTTGCTGGATAGGTACCTCCCCTTCTTATGTTTCCAAGATGACAAATAGTTTTTACAATACTATTTTATCTTTTTTTCAAACGGTGCTTTGCATCATATCAGAAACAAATAATTCTAAACACATTTATGTAGTGTGTTTAAGTGTGTTAACTTGTTTAAGTGTGTCAGTGTCTAGATAGATTTAATATGCAATTTACACCAGCAACATACAATAAGTAGACTCTTTGAGCTGAAAAAAGTGGTGTGATTGCACTTAATTACTAATTAGTCAATTTAATTATATGGATTGCTGACCATAATGAAAGACAGTAAGTCTGCTATTGCTATGTGATAAGCTAAACACTGTTTAAATACAAAATAGGCAGGAAATTGACTCCCAAGAAGTTCAGGGTGGTTTAAACAGAAGGTTTAACCGCTGTGAAAGTCAGCTTAGCTGTACAGTGGGTTGTTGTGGGAGAAATAAACAACAGAGTCTAACTATTTGGCATGATGAAATTTAAAGAAGAGCTGAAAATTAAAAATCTTGGGCATCAGTATCAAGAAATTTAAAACTTCTAAAGAAATTACTTTGTATTCTTCCTTGCCTTCCTTCCCATGTATGGGTGAAGTAAGAGGAAAAAACTGAGCCAAAAAAACCCTGTAGGGCACACTCTCTTCTAAGTTCCATCCCCACATAGAGCTCATAGCAGCTTGCTGCCATCCTTTCTACTTAGTACTCACAACGGGATGCATTTGGTTTTCATTTTACTCACAACCTGGTTGTCCTGGCCATATAATGTAACTATTTCATCTTGTGTTGCTAATACTAAAGTTATGAAACTTAAATTTTAACTTTGAAAACTGATAGAAGACTTTTTGATTCCTTGTTGGAACGATTCTAAATACTGTACAGTTAGACTCCAGGCTTAAGTGCCTTGAATTCCTATGTTGAATAAACTTGCTGGATTGAAACTAACTAGCTCAGGGACCAAGAGCAGTGCAGCTGCTTAACCAAATGCAATGTAGTTTATAGAATTGCCTGGATAACAATTCACATGGTTCCAGTGAGTTTGACACTGTCATGGCAGGAGGAATCCTAAACAAGATCATTTGTGACACATTTATGTCACAGGCAGAGCAAATAAGTACCTTAAGTCTTGACATGGTAGCAATTTTGGAATTAAACTGCAAACAATTTATATGTGAATAAGAATGGAAATAAAATATTAATCATATTAACTCTGAATCATATTAACTCTGTACAAGAAACATTTTATTGTAAGGTAAAAATTTATTTTCTCATTTCTGCTAAATGGCTATTGTGTACTATGATTTCTACAGTAAAATACTGAAATGCAAATTTAAAGAAAAGCTTTAGTATGTACCAGACTGATATTAGAGATTTCTGCTCATAGCAGTATTTATCGTTAATAGATACCAAGGTATTTTTAAATATTTGCAAGGATAGTGTGTTTATAGAACTTCAAAAAAAAACAAAGTCCTATCTTGCTTTTCTTAAATGAGAACTCTCTAGTTAATGTCTCTGGCCAGGCAGGTGTAAAGGAATCCTAATTTAAAGAGGCAGGTATTTTTTTTAGTATAAATATAAACTACAGAGTAATGTAAACCTCAGCAATAATAATTTTCTGTTTCTTTTAGCCCATTTGGCAGCCTCAAGACAATGATTTGCTGGCACAAGCACATGCAGACTCTGAACTAAATCAGTGTGGAATATGTGAATTCTGTCGAGAAGTTTTCCCACCATCTCTAACATCTAAGGAAGATTTTCTTCGGCATCTCAATTCCCACTTTAAAGTACAGTCTTAATGTATGAGAATTCAATGGTTCACTGTTTTTGCATACATTTATACTTTTTTTTTATTCAATAGATATGATAAGAGTTTAAGAATTAAGACTTCTTGTAACAAGAACTCATGACTGAAATTGTTTGTCAGATAAGCACATTTTTAGTTGTCTTTTGACAAGGCAAAATGAAACTAAGTCGCTCAGTACTGTAATTCACATTACTGCTTATTGTGCTTCACTATTAAGTTTGAGAGTGATGTCAAATACTTTTTTTTCCCCAATTCATCTTTGCCTAAATAGGCCTGAAGTTGTGACTATATTTATGAATGTAGACTTGCAGGATTATTGCCTTAATCTGACCGGCAAAAATTGGTATAATGGTAGGATTTTTTTTGACAATATCCAGTGATGTGATTATGTTCTCCCTGAAGTAAACAGGAAAAGAACTAGACCCTCATTTTTCATTTATATTATATCACTTCCAAATAGTGAACCTCTTAATTCATATCCTTGTAAAATTATCAATTAATAGCTGAATCCAGGTGTGCCAGAATTAGGATAGGTTTGTTCACTAGTAACATAAATGAATGGTTGACTTTCCCAGATGAGTTTTTTACTAAAGCAAGTAATCAAAAGTAACATATAAATGACCCTTTTGTCAAAATGGAACAGTAATGATTTTATGAATATCTGTTACATGTTATAAAAAAAAAATTGTCATGTTCATGTACCTTTATAGCATTAATAATTACTAAAAATGCTTTCAGGGAACAGGTTATATTAATATGAAGGATAGAAAAGGTTAAACTTTCCCAAAAATTAATAATACCAAAGATTATTTTCCTTCCCTTCTGGTCTGCTATGATGGATTGCCCAAGTCTGGTACAGACTAGAAAGGAAAGCAGAAAACCTAATCGCCCAAATCTCAGTGATTTTTTTTTTAAGCTGAATATAGTGGCTTTCTCAATACAATTAAAATTTGTGTTTGGTTGAAACATTGAAGTCTGATAAAGTTTGCACATTTTCTGGATTTACTGATATCAAATCTAAAAATAGGGGTGTTGCCAAGTATTTTAAATTAATCATAAAGGGTGCTTGCCTTTTGCATTTGAACTGAATATAGAGTTTAGCCCTGATATTGATAATTAGCATTAATATTTTCATAGCTGCAAAGCACAACACCTTTTCTTTTTAAAGATTTGTTTGCAGGTGACAAATTTCTGGAAGAATTAACACCTGCGTAATTTTTAAAATGGATTTTTCTGCAATTATTTTCTCTATTTTAAACATGTCATGGTTGTGACGGGCTGTCAACAGAGTGTACTGTAATAAACAGCACTGTACAGTGCACGTCTGCTCCATGACCTGGAGGAAGAGTGTGTTACTCTTCGGAGCTCTAAGCCCTGCCTGTGCGCAGCGCTGAAGAGGCGATGTTCGGCCGCGGCCGCGCCGTGCGGAGTGTGAAGCACCTCCCCGGAGAGCGCGGCTGGGGGTGGTGCCCGGGAGAGGCACAAGTTCCAGCCTTGGGAGGAGAGAAGGGGATTCGCACATCTCCAGCCAGCCCGACACACAGCACCGACTCGTCCTCTCAACCGTGAAATTCGAGCTCAGAAGCTCGCGTTATTAAGAGAGGCACAAACTGCGAATCACCTTTGAAGAAAATAAAGTCATCTGTTTCTCCCCCCCCCCCCCCCCCCCCCCCCCCCCCCCCCCCCCCCCCCCCGCCCCCACGCGTGGATGCGGTTCCCCAGGAGCCCTTGAGCTGGCAGAGCCGGGAGCCCTGCGCCGAGCCCGAGTCCCCGCGCGGGGACAAGGCTCTTTGTTGCTGGAGGCAGCCTGGGGTCCGCCGCAGCCAGGGCGCAGCGGGGAGGGCAGCGGGAGGTGGGGGAACACGGTTGACCAAAGTCTCGTCGACCAGCAGAACCCATCCATCTCCCACTGTGAGGGCTCCTGCCTAGTGCTGCGTTTTAGGAAGCTGTTTAATCCTGCGTGCGTAAAACTGTTGCTGCCTGAGGGCATCCAGATAGGCTCGCCGATCAGACCACTGCGAGGAGCACTAGTTTAGTTTTTAAATAAACAATAAATAAATAAATAAATCTCACGCTAAGCAGTTGTGAGCGACTCGAAGTGAGAGGCGAGCGCGGTCCCTGAACGGGCCCCCCTTATACAGCTTTCCTGGAGGCGGCTGCTGCTGCCAGCAGGGACATCTGCTTTATTACACTCACCAGAGGAGGCTCAGTATTCCTCCCCTTCCCTCCCTCTTCCACACAAACTCAACCCGGCAGAGGAGGTTGAATCCAAATGGGAAGTAGAATGTCATTAAAAATCATAAATATGGTGGAAGGAACTTGAGAGGACAGGAAGAGCAGCAAACTCGTGCCAAGGTGTTCTACCGAATTCCAACTCCGCCAGGGCCAGCGGAGCCCTCGCCAGGGCAGCCCCGGGGCTGGAGCAGTTTCAGGGCTCCCGTACGAGTTCCTTGTCACCCCGCCCCGCGCTGACGGTGCGCGACGCGTGAACCCCCGCGCTCACAGGCAGCGCTCGCAAGGAAACAAACTGCTCCCGTTTCCTATCGGGAGCTCTCGGAGGGACACTGCGGCGGTGCGGCTGCCTCAGCCTGCTGCGAGGGCTCGGTGCCGGCGGCCGGGTAGAACACATGTAGCTCCTCTGTCTCTGCGGCTAACTCGACAGCTGCTCGTAGCTCCAGTAATTAGACTGTCACTGCTTGTTAGAGGAGAGGAAAACGCTCCTATGACAGATTCCACGAGTCCTCTGTTTTGTTTTTTTTTTTAAATCTCGCAGAAATCACCAGAGCATTAACTGAGATTTCTTATTTCTCTAGAATCAGAAGGAAAGAAGTTCCCTCTACGATCTCGCACTCCAATGAGATCTCTCTTCCGACTCCCATGAAAACGTGAATTCGCTCTAAGAAGCTGAGGAAGTTACCTTCCTTCCCCTGCCTACCGGGAGGAAGAGGGAGCTTCCTGGCCTTGTGAACTTGCTTTTAAAATCCCTTCCCCGTATGGCTGTATCTAACCAGACAAGAGAAATGCTGTCTTTTCTCCATTAACTGAGCGGAGGAGTCGCTCAACACACAACACGCTCAACACATCCTTCCCCATCCGAGATAATATTAATTCAGAGGATGCTCAGGAGAGCCTGTTACCCCTTACGAACAAAAGCACTGGAGGATCAAGCCGAGATGCTGCTACCCCCACCCCATGGTTCTCTCAGCAGATGAGACTCAGAGGAGGCGATTTCTTCCCCTCCCTACGGTACGTTCCCCTTTCCCCCGCAATCATACAAGGTTAACTCAACAGTGGAGTCTCAATCCAAATGGCAACTGGGATTGCATTTAAAAAAAAAAAAAAAAAAAAAGAAGAAGGAAGGGGGAGAAAAAAAATCAGAAATAGGGAAAGAAAAGAGAAAAAGCAGCAGGCTGATTACGAGGTGTCAAAACTGCCAGGAGCAAGAAGGTGATAGCAATCAGGGGTGAGAAGAGTGCGCCATTCGTGCGGGGCAGCTAATTATCCGTCTCATTTGAGAAGAGCAGCATTCGAGGCAGCAGCGTTCGCCTGCTGAACGGTGACAGATTGGCGCGGAGGAGAGGGGAGGTGTTAAAACAATGGAGCCGGGCTTGCGAGCGCTGCTGCATGCTAATCAGCCCGGCCTCCTTCCTTCCTTCCCTCCGCCTGCCTGCCTGCCGCGATCCCTCCTTCTCGCTGGCCGCATGGCAAGCCCAGCGCTACCCGGCCCCTCCGCAGCAGGCGGCACCGCACCCGGCATAGGTGGTAACCCAGAGAGAGTTCCGGCGGGGCCGCGCAGCGGGGCTGGCGGCACCGGGGGACCTAGCAGGCTGCTGCGTATCAGTGGTAGATTGCAGACCTCGCCCTCGGCGCCCGGGCTGGCAGTAGCCCGTCACTGCGCTCCCCGCAAGGGGCAGAGGCGAGGAGCCCTTCGTGCGGGGGCTGCGGGTTCTGCGGGCTGACCTCCCGGCTATGCCCGCCCCGCCAGAGGCCAGGCCATAGCCGGCAGCGCAGCAGGTTGCCCAGAGAGAGACAATCTATTGCCGCACCTCAGACCAGGCCGCCGAGATGAGGGAAGTGCAGAGCTGTGCCAATTACTGACGGACTCCAGGGGCTCCATTGCCCTCTCAGCTCTGCTCGGGAACTAGAGACCGGAATGCTAAAATATGCAGTAAGCAAGTGGCCTCTCTTCACCACTGCCTTTTGCCACTCGGATTGCTTGGCCTTGCAAGCCTGAATGACTCTGCATGTACACAGTGTGTGCCTTGTGAGGAGGCACTAAAAGGTCTGGCCTTCTCTCAGACCAGGAAGCATCGTTCCCTTTCACAAACAGTGCAACAGGGTCTACAGAGACAGCAAAAATGATTTCTGAGGGATCTCTTTGGCCCTAGCTTTCCCAGGAAGTCCATGCTCCGCAAGACTCACAGGGCAAGCCCCGGGGCTGGAGCATTAACAGCCCAGCTACAGTAAGTGCTCCACTCTGCCAGGGAGAAGCAGAGGAATGAGCGTTGGAATGTTTACTCTCCAATATTTCTCAGTTTCCATTCCATCCTGCCCTGAAAGATTTTTGATTACTATACACTTCAAAATAGTATTTATTACAGATTTACATAATCTGTATGTTTTATGTTAAGGCAATAACACATTGATGCTGTACTACTGAAAGGAGTTAATCTAAACTATGTAGTGTCTGTTATAACAGAGTTCCAACTAAAACATATCCTTGCTTTCTGGCACTGACAAGAAACACGTATCCAGAAGGACATTGCCCAGCACATTAGGTAAACTGCCAGGTGAAGCCGTTGCTCGACTCCTGAACCTTCACTGGGTTATGGATCAGCACTTGGCCAAATTAAATTATGTAAGTCTGTGTGTAACCTCACGTTTAATTAAACAAATGTTATTTCAAATAGCATGTGTCTGGTTTACAGCAGGATTCATGGGAATAGGAAAACACTGAAAGGGAATAAACTGGTTTAGGCCTGAGGTAAGCAGCATGATAACTCAGGTTGAATGCTATTTAAAGTAGATTTGAGTGCATGTACAGCTAGGCGGTAGTAATAGCGTTTAAATTTTGTTATTCTAAGTCTGTCGTTGAGTGTACTTGATGAGATTGTCCATGAGCATACAGATGGTGAGATTTTCATGCTTCTGTGGCATACTGACATCTCAGGCTGTAAAAATAAATTCCCAGATCGCTGTAATACCTAAGAAATAGAAAAATGCAGTCCACCTTAATGCTCTACATTTGAGTCCTTTATGTTTTAAGAGATTTTATATACTAGATGCATAAGTTTGTGCATATTAGGAAGACATTTACAGTATAAAGCAAAATTCGAGATAAACTCTGCACCCTTTTTTTTGTGCTTCTGAATTTAGAGATATGGGGGAAGGAGATAAAAACTTGCCTTTGCTATTGTCTCTATTTTTTTTTTTACTGTTGTCATGGTTTGTTTGTGGCCCCCTGCTACCAAAAACCAGGTCGTGCCAAACCAATACATTTGTACGTAAGGATAAAAAGCAGAAATAAGTTTTCATTAGGTCAAGTTTACTTTTCATTAAAAGATTCTTGGATTGTTTCTTCATTTCATATCATTTTTCAAGCTGAAAACAAACTATTATATCAATTTTGATGATTTACACTGCACTAAAAAGGTATTTGGATCAAAGACGAATGCCAAGATATTTTCTCTGATATAATAAGTTTTTCCCTGCCTAAGAAGCCATAATGTGGAGCAATCCATGCATCAGCCTGTTCAACCCAGAAACCAGCACTGATATTGCTCATAAATATCCAGGGTAGGGCACCCCTATTGGCTACTGCCTGGCTGCAGACAAGGTGCTGTGCTTATCCAGGTTTCTGAACTGACCAAATTAATATTTTAAATAAAAATATATAGCAGGGTGATATGGTGCAAATGAGCTAAAAGAAAAACATTTTGCAGAGACAAGTACATAGTTTAAAAAGATTTAAAATATTCAATTGGTGTAAAAAATAACTACTTGTAAAAACGTGTGTATTTTCATTATGCTTAATTTGCCATTCAAAACAAGTTTTTCTTAATAAGCTCTATTGTTTCTATCTGTTTTGTGAAATGTAATACGTGTGAGACAGAAAGCAGACTCGGAATGTGAATGAGTTTTGTTTTCTCTTTCTCTCTTTCTTTCGTTTTTGAAATACAACTTTATTCATATTCACAGGGATCTTTAAGTTGAGAAAAGGATTAATGGAAGTGGCATGACACTCCTGAGGTCACGCTCTGAAAAGATGAAACATGAAATTCTATCTGCTAGTCTTTTCCTATATCTTAATTGCGTGCAATAGAAAAGTCTCC